ACTCTGATGTATTTAGGGAACATTGCTAAATTTCAACACTTGCTTCCAAACAAATTACCCGGGGAACTGGGGAGAGTGGTTTGGCAGACACCACAGACAGAAAATGATAAATTAAATGTTGAATTATGAACAGAAATATGTTAAAATTTTCTTACTCTTATCATTGGAGGATGGTCGGTGGGCACGTCAAGATCTATGTCGAGATCTATATGCGGGTTATTACGCGAGTATTGACATTTTGTAACTCTCATGTAGTAAGTTAGATCTTGGCTATTTTTGTAATTTATGCTTCGTTGCAGTTCACCATCTTATCTAGTCATATAACTGCGAACAAATTATCAAACATGGAAAACTTGCAGCCTTTAGTAATCTGAAGGCTCAGAGTTATCTCCCTTGTAGATTAATTTAAGTTTGTGTAAAATTGGGAAAGTTTTTGTAAATTCAGCACCAAAGCTTAATGGATTAAATAAAGACACGCTTCTATGGAATAAATACTGCAGGACACAATTCTATAGAATTCAATTGCTGTTTATTACTGAGATAGAGGACACAATTCTATTGAATTCAATTGCTGTTTATTACTGAGACACAGAATCCAATTCTATAGAATTCAGTTGCTGTTTATTACTTAGCGAGGTTTTAACTAGCATTCTCAGTCAGTAATAAACAGTAATTGTATTCCATGGAATTGTATCCTGTATATTTTCATTTTAATTACTACATGCCACATTAGAATGGCTATATACACATAGCCTTAATACCATTCTCCCATGAAAGTCTTGCTATTCAGCATTCAAACTGCAAGGGAAGATGGCTCTGCTTAGGAGAATGTCTTAATACTGGTACTGTAAATGAAAAGTAGTAATAACATTTGAATTGTAGCTTGTTGTGTTTAATTTATAAGTAGAAGCACACCGTGGACTGCTCACCACTATTAACTTTTATATCTCTGTACTTGCTTCGCCCAGATTTTTTTTAAAAAAAAAAAAAATATTTTTAACAAATAATAATATGCATGTACATGTACTTACAATTTAATTATGTAAATATACATATTATATTTTATCAATTTTATAATTGAAATCAAATTTCTGGTTAATAGTTTACGATTGTAATGTAATAGCCTTTAGGAAGAGTGAACCATCGGTTGTCAACATGTAAGAGGTCAAGGTCTTCTCAACCTGTGAATTGATTAACTTTTTTCTTGGCAAATAAAGGTATATTTTATCATGCCTGAAGGGTGTGTATTTGGTGAGGGGTTGGATGGTCTTGTGGTCTCATACCTGTAGATTCAAAGTCAAGGTATGTCAGTCCTGAAATAACTGAGTTTTAGTGTTGAGAGTGGACGTTAAACTCCATTCCCTACCATTCTCTGTGTGTATCTTACCCTAAATGAACATATTCTCCCCTCCCACCTTATGTTACAGAATTTCGTGAATTGAAATCATGATTTGGATAGATTCTGCCCAGGTGAGAAGATATTGCGGCCTATAAGTTGACTCCCTATTAGTTGATTCACCTTTATATTAGAAACAAACACCTTCATTTTCACACCTGAGGCATTAATAACAAAACCTTAAACTAAAATATTTGAAGAATTTGTGCTAGGATATTTGTGCTAGGATTTGAAGAATTTGTGCTAGGATATTAATTATCAACCAATGAAAATATCTGCATCGATAAAATATTTTACTTTGAGTTTTCATGAATAAGGGTCTTAGTCAGTTGTACTACTTGGTACCACTTGTGATGTCTTGAATAAAACAATGTCTTTTATTTTCTATGAATTGTAACAAATTAGTGCCAAAATGAAAATTGATTGTATTCTTGTAAAAATTTTGCCATTTAGCTGTTATAAGATATCTGAAGCCTTATTGACAAAATCTATAAACTAAGATATTGTAATAACATAGCCTTTTCATTGGCCAAAAGATCAACATTGTACTAACATTTTAACTCCTAACCAATAAAAAGGCGTCATCCTTAAAATATTTTAAATTTAGTTGTTACGAATTAGCCATCTGTTTGGTTAGTTTTAATCATTTAAAGAAAGTGCTGAAACACAATTCTGTATAAACCCCCAAGAACCATTCAAGCAGCAATAGTTGTACAATTTGGGGGCTTGTCCTGGATAGAAACTAAATATACAAACTTTGTAAATTGACATGCACGAAATCATTTTTTTTAAAACTGAATATGTCTAATATTTTCATTTTTAATTATATACTGTAATGTTCATTCAAACCTTTTTTAAATTTTGTATTTTATAAAAAAAAAAAAAAATGATGTGTGTCCATGTTTTTCGTGCATTTAATTATTTGTTTAAATTCGCTATAAATGTGTTAATGTAGCCTATTTGTTTATAATACACATGTAAAATCATTTAAATATTTAACATATACCAAATTATTGATATTAACTGGACACTATTCTTAGGAAAAAATCTTCAGTTAAATTCAAATAAATAAGTTAACAGTGTTGATAAAATGGTAGAAAATGTTTTTATAAAGAAATATGAAATGACACGGTCTATCTTGTTTCTTGAATGAAAAAAAGGAAATGCAGACTCTTTCTGGACCAACTGGTGTCATTTCTCATGTTAGGAAAGGAGTTTGGGTGGCCAAGTGGTCTGTAGCATGAGCTTTAGATCATAAGGTCTGTCATTTAGTCATGTGTTGTGGTTCTCGTATCCAGACTTGTGTGTGATAAGGAGTAGGATAATCTGCCTAATTGTTTGGGTTTTCTCCCATTTCTCTGGTTTTCCCCACTGTCATTTAGTCCAGTGCAATGGTTACGGTCCCAGGCTTGTATGCCCCCTCCCCGACTGTTAAAAACCCCAGCAATAGACATATTGAAGTAAAAATTTACCACATATCTCTCTCATGTGAGTTTAAATAGCTAATGTATATGTCTGCTGTGTGGGGGTTTTTTTATTCAGAACAGTAGCGAAAAGATAACATACCACTGTAGGCCTAAATACTAAAACTGTAGTTTTTTTCTAAGAAAAGTGTCCAGAATCGACCCACAAAATATTTACCAAACTATAATTAATTGTATATTATCAACTTTTAAATTTTTTAAATCAATTTTATATCAGATTTCTTATTGATTTTTTTCAATTATGTAAGATAAATTGACTGATTATATCCCCCAAGGAAACTTACATGTGCTGTACTTCTATTATGCATAATATTTTATTGTTTTGTTTTCTTTACTCCCATTTTTACACAAAATAATTATCCTTTTTTTTTCCTCATTTCAAGGCATTTGCTCAAATAGCGTTTTTTTCGTCTCCTCCATAACTCTCTATTCATTGTTTCTGTTGTTGTTTGTGTGTAGAAATGGGAGAATTGAGATCTGAATCATCTCTTTGTAAATTAACTAAAAACAATCGCTCGTGACGTCAAATAAACTTATTCGTCATTCTGCACTTATATCATGTAATTAAAGAATTTTGTTCAAAATTTGCCTCTGTTATTTAATTGCCATTTGCCAACGTACTTCATAAGTTTAATCCAACCAAAGGCTTAACTGGGCTTTGAATCCCACGTATGTCTCCGACATCTCATATGCTGTGTAAAAATGTCACTTGAAAACACGGTGTTCAAATTCGGGAACAAAAAAGATTAGGCTATTTAAATATGAAGAAAAACGAGATTATATATTCTCAATGTAAGATACTTAAGCCAGGTCGGTCATTAATGGGCGTGATTACCGATATCAGGTGGGTAAGAGGAGAACCCAACTTCCCCACCCCCACCCCCCTTTGCCTACCATCACGTATCGATTCAGTTTAAAGGTATTAAATCGCTAATATTTTGGGCCTAGAAATTGGCACAAATGGGCCGGCCGCATATAAATATGAATTTATATAAACTGTTTTACATACAATCGTTTCCGTTTTACTGTGAATTGTCATCAGTTATATTCGGCGAAATACGCCAGAAGTCTCAACTGAAAGACAGTTTCTAGCGTCTGGTTATTCCAGTCAACACCGATAGTATATATTGCGCATGCTCTCCAAATAAGAATATGGCATCACCGTTTGACATGACTTGTGGAATATCTCTAGCCTCATTCTTTGAGCACCTTGTTACAAATGGCGCTGGAACGCATTATGGTACACGATTCGTGTACCAATGGTAAAATGTTTATTTTGTCTTAAATATTGGATACCAGAAGCCCATCTTTCCAGGTAAGACCACAACACCAATGCTGAGTTAAATTGCAAAAACAATCGTGTTTTCAATGTCGAAGATTTTGGATGATATTGAGTTACGGACTTGGCTACTTTAAAGTTCAAGAAAAACTACTTTCCACGAATTGATTACACAGTCGTTATTCAGTTTAAAGGAGCTAAATCGCTAACATTTGGGATCTAGAAATTGACAAAAGTGGGTCGCAACGCATATAATACTGTAATATGAATGTATATAAACTGATTTACATTCAATGGTTTCCGTTTTTACTCCAATTTCAAATCTAATGTTCGGCGAAATAAGCCAGGTCTCAAGCGAGTGCAAATTTATATAGCGTCTGGTTATTCCAGTCTACATACGCCGTTTGATTTGGTGCAATGTATCTAGCCTCGTCCCTCGAGTCTCTTGATACAACTGGGGCTGAAGCGCATTATGGTACACGATTCGTATACCAATGGTAAAATGTTTATTTTGTCTTAAATATTGGATATCAAAAGCACATCTTTTTCCGGTATGATCACAACATGAATGTTGATTTAATTTGACAAATAATTCGTGTTTTCAATGTTGAAGATTTTGGATGATATTAAGTTAGAGACTTAGCTACTTTAAAGTGAAAGTAAAACTAACTACTTTCCACGAATTGTTTACACGGTCGTTATGACGGGGTACAATACGCCAATAAACATACTGCCACCATTCACATATTTCTTCAGTTTAAAGTAAAAGTAAAACTAACTAGTTATTCAGTTTAAAGTGAAAGTAACTACTTTCCATGAATTATTTACACGGTCGTTATGACAGGGTACAATACGACAATAACCATACTGGTTAGTTGAGGGAGGGTTGGTATCGTGTGTACCAGTAGGACGTTAGATCTCAGCCCAATTTCATTTCGTTTATCCTGTGGATCAGTTCGATGTTAAACCCTATTTCATATCATGTACCGTGTGTTTTAGTGGGACGTTAAACGCCATTTACAGAGTGTACTAGTGAAGCGCCATAAATAGGCAACTGTATATATGTAGAGATCAAACGCTGGATTCTAAACCTCTGTTATGGGATATTGCGAAATAAATTAGTCGCGGATTGTAGAAACAGTTTGTCGTCAATGACCATGGAGGATAAACGTAACCGGTATGTCTGTAGCATATGTCAAGATCGTTTTACCAAACCCAAAATTATTTCGTGTTTTCACACATTTTGTGAAGACTGTCTGGGGAGTCACATCGAGGAAACTGCAGAGAATTCTTGTTTTTTGTGCCCGGTTTGCCGAACAGATATTGTAGTTCCCAAAGGCGGCGTGGCGAAATTCTCACCTAATTTTTATATTGAAGAAGAGACGGAAGTTAAACCCCAGGAAAAGAGACGAAGTTGCACAGAACACGAAACAGAGGAATTGGACTTCTATTGTGAGACTTGTACCGAAATCATCTGTATCAAGTGTTTGATGTCGAATCATAAAGACCACAAGACCCCTCAGTTGAAAGACTGTGAAGAAGCCGTGAAGATGGAGCTGACCAAACTACAAACAGAACTCGAGGAACAATATACCAAAATTGATAGGTATGTAGCTTCCATTGTTACCAATGTAACTGTGATGAGAGAATCTAAAACTGAAACTTGTAAGAAGATCGACGAACAGGTACAAAAGATATGTGATGCTGTAACAGCACTAGGAAACGAATCTAAGAAGGAAGTTGAGACAACGTGTGATGAGGAGGAGCAAAAGATGAATAAAATAATAGAAAAGATGAAAAACGCCACACAACATATGGAAGCCACCATTGAACATTTGAAACATGTTTTGAAAAAAAACTCTGTAGGTGAAAACATTAAAGTTCTTCCAGAAATAAGAAGCGAAAAAGCAGAAAAATGTTCAACCGACTTGGCATGTCTGCCTCATGTTGTGACAGAATACAGGGCAAGTATGGTCAACCTTGCCGGTCTATCTGGCTATCTTGGAGAGTTGTCCATTTTACGTGGTCCAACATTTCAACATAAATTCAGGTTGTCTAAACATTCCAAAAGGCGGACATTTGAAAGTACAGTATACCGTGTTGAGGACCTGTCATGGTTTCTACGAATTGCCACCAGAGAAAACAGTGATCTTGTGAATATAGGTGTATATTTATACTTAGGAGATCAACCAGCCCTTGAATCGGTGACAACTCGCATTAAACTAGAACTTCTTCGGGCCTCTGATAGAAAACGGTTAGGTACTAAAGAAGATACCAAAACGTTTACTGGATTAATAGACTGCTATCGATGGAATGATGTACCTACAAAGACATTTATTTTGAACACCTCTGTGCCTGTTGGTTTTGGTAGCACCCCATTTACAAATGCAACAGTCGGGGGACTTTGTGGTAGCAGTAATCCTGTATCAAATGCAACTGCCGGGGGACGTTTTGGTAGCAGTGCTCCTGTATCAAAAGCAACAGCCGGGGGACTTTTTGGTGGCAGTACTCCTGTATCAAAAGCAACAGCCGGGGGACTTTTTGGTGGCAGTACTCCTGTATCAAAAGCAACAGCCGGGGGACTTTTTGGTATCAGTACTCCTGTATCAAAAGCAACAGCCGGGGGACTTTTTGGTACCAGTACTCCTGTATCAAATGCACCAGCCGGGGAACTTTTTGGTGGCAGTACTCCTGTATCAAATGCATCAGCCGGATTACTTTTTGCTGGCAGTAATCCTGTATCAAATACAACTGCCGGGGGACGTTTTGGTAGCAGTGCTCCTGTATCAATTGCAACAGCCAAAGGACTTTTTGCTTTTGGTAGCTGTACTCCAGTATCAAATGCAACAACCGGATTACATTTTAGTAACTGTACTCCTGTATCAAATGCAACTGCCGGGGGACATTTAGGTAGCAGTACTCCTGTATCAAATGCAACCTTCGCGGGAATGTTTGGTGGCAGTACACATGTATCAAATTCAACATTCGGGGGACGTTTTAGTGGCAGTACTCCTGTATCAAATTCAACAGCCGAGGTACGTTTCGGTGGTAGTACTCTTGTATCAAATTCAACAGTCGGGGGACGTGTTGTTGGCAGTTTTCCTGTATCAAGGCAGAGTCCTTCAGAAGATAAATATTTTCTAGTTCAGGCAAACGTTATCATCGAAAATACAAAAACAAAATAACAACATTTTGTCCTAAACTGTTAACTATAAATGAGCCGCTGTATTCGTAGTGTATGTATGAATATGTAACTCTTCCCTCAAATTAAAGGATTGGGTTGTTTTTCTTTAAAAATTCAGCAAATGTTAATACAGCTTCTGGATTCAATAATTAAATTAGTAGACATTGATAATTTTTTGTATGGTCTAAAATAATACATCTAAAATAATATTAGTGATGGCTACAAATACATTATCCCGATTTTAAATATTACATTCATTATTTCATTCATTCTAATCTAAAGCGTTCGACTTTCCGTGAAGTTGAGAATCATAAATAAACCGTTTTATTCGTAATATATTTTTTTATTCATAAATTAATTACAAAGAGAAATTTTGCCCGGACAGGGGAACTACAACCTACTCCTATTTAGAACTCCAACTTTCAAGAGTTTTTTTTTTTAAATGTACGCCAGCGTGTGCGCGGGATCTCGACTTTTCATGCCACCCGAATGACCCCAGATCCTCTGTCATGCACGACTTGAAAACCTCAGTGAACTTTCTCTACCTAACATGAATCTTAGATATTGATTCATTAGGTATATATAGTTCTTTATACTAATGTATATCAAATATTTGTATTAAAGTTTAATTATTAAGATAGATATTAAGCAATCTGAACAACAGACCCAAATCACCTGCAGAGACCATTTATTTTTCGAAGTTAGTTACGTACGAGTTAGTAAGCGGGGGATAGCGTCTGGTTACAAAAATGTAATCGAAGCAATACAAACAATAACCTTAATTCTTTAATAAACCCAGTTCGACTTGAAATAACTCTAGGTTTTATAAGTTGATTAGTTTTTATTTTCGTCGCCTAATAATTCATTATGTATATGTATATTTTATGCATATAAATATAATGTGAAATATTTTATTAGTACACTTGTTCACATAATATATGCTAATATTTTAGTTATTAACCCTATCAACTCCTTAATTTTGTTATCTTTAAATCCATTCATTAAAGATACCTTATGGGAGATAAGATAACGAGATGGCAGTTCTCGCTATAATAGTTAAAAACTAGATAGTGTAAAGGTAATTTGCTGAAAATTTCAGTCAAATTGATCCACTATGAGCCGAGAAAGAAGCGGGTGAAATTTTGGCATAGTCTTGGTCATCATTACTAAAATCATTAATATAAACAGCATAGTCTCGATTATCCACTTTTTTGGATTTAATTATCAACGGCCAATAGCGGCATATAGGAATCTAATCCAGCCAACATCGAAGGCTAGCCTTGACATCGAGAGTTTATTATGGTCTGGATAAGTTAACTAATGTCTAATTGATAATTTAGATAACATTTCAGGCCTAAAGAAAGACTTGTAATAAGCAGATTTTGCTCTGGCATAATGCATGTTTAAATCACAATTGCTACTGTGTTAATACTTAAACCTTCATTGCTGTATGTTTTCGCAATGTTTATCATCTTTGATGTCTCATAACTTTTTTGATTGTAATGCAACAATTATGAATAATATACAGATTTGTGGCAAAAAAAGTTGTTTTCTTTGAATCTACTTAAAAAAAACTCTACCAGCTTATAATCCCTGTGACTTGTTTGAGGTCAAATGGAAAAGTTAAACTTATTTTTGAGGTCAAGGTCAGACAAAAAGGCCATGGTCAAATGTTTTTATAAAGAAGTATGAAATGACACGATCTATCTTGTTTCTTGTTTAAAAAAGCGGACCTTTTCTGGACCAACTGGCGTCATTTCTCATGTTAGGAAAGGAGTTTGGGTGGCCAAGTGGTCTATAGCAAGAGCTTTAGATCATAAGGTCTGTCATTTAGTCAAGTGTTGTGGTTCTCGTATCCAGACTTGTGTGTGATAGGGAGCAGGATAATCTGCCTAATTGTGTGGGTTTTCTCCCATTTCTCTGGTTTTCCCCACTGTCATTTAGTCAACTGCAATGGTAACGGCCCAAGGCTTGTATGCCCCATCCCCACCCCTACACTGTTAAAAACCCCAGCAATCGAATTCTTGAAGTCAAAATTTACCACATCTCTTGCATGTGAGTTTACATAGCTAATGTATATGTCTGCTGTAGATTTTGTTTATACATAACAGTAGCGAAAAGATAACATACCACTGTAGGCCTAAATACTAAAACTTTCATTTTTTTCCCCATTTCAAGTCATTTGCTCAAATAGCGTTTTTTTCGTCTCCACCATAACTCTCAATTCATTGTTTCTGTTGTTGTTTTTGTGTAGAAATGGGAGAATTAAAGATGGGTTCCCGCGTACAAACTCGGTGATTTAATGGTATACATGTACCAAAAACATATTCAAACTAATTAATTTGTCATAATTATGCTTCAAATCCATCTCAAACATTGTAATTGCGAAGGAATGTCCTGCTATTAAAATTCGATCAAACCAGGTCATGTGTGACAGTATTGGGTCTTTATATCAGGTTCTTGTCAAGACTAGTTTATCATCTTATAATACTTCTATTCTCTGCTTCTTCTAACGTAACTAGCTTGTGTTGAGAGAGCCATGTCCTAGCTCGGCTAGGCACGAGTGTGCCAACTCCCAACTAACTTACATTACATGGCCGTTGTCCGGTCTTAACTCCAGACCTGCGTGGCCTGTCCTGGCCGGACCTGTCTCTCGATTCGTGTCAGTCGATACATGCCAATCAGACAAAGAAAGTTTAAATAAAACATGCAAGCAAGTTACATAATCACATAGACCAAGAACTTCATGGATGTCGATAGCGAACAGGTGTCAAGTTGGCAGGAAGCGTCTATAACATCAGATAATCTGTGATTTTGTAACACATGTTTACGTCACGTCTTGGGAGTCAGAGGAGAATTCATGTGCATACATTAGACGATGTTGTCTTTAATCGCTTACTATTTATTACAAATATCGAATCCTAATTAAATTCTCGGATTATCCACTACCCGCGTCTTTTTCCGTCATTTTTATCTCAGAAAGTATTGTACGTTTAACTCTTCATAAAGTTTATCTACTTGTACATCAAGCGCTCAATGTTTGCTTGTGACCTTTGACATCACGCGTGCTGAAGTTCTTAATCGTCGGGCTGTTGATTAGGGGAACCCTTACATTTTTGTCCTGTATACGCTCCATGAGTGTTTTTCGGGGAATCCAGTATTTTTCTAGTAAGATTGGATATCTCTACTTTCCATATATACCAAAATTGCCATACTTTTATTGGAAATAACCACCCGATAAATACTTTTCTGGGAACCCATCTTTAAGATCTGAATCATCTCTTAGTAAATTAACTAAAAACAATCGCTCGTGACGTCAAATAAACTTATACGTCATTCTGCACTTATATCATGTAATTAAATAATTTTGTTCAAAATTTGTTTTTGTTATTTAATTGCCATTTGCCCACATCTTAGGGTTAATCCAACCAAAGCCTTAAATGGCCACAGCTCACTAAGGGTTTCCGCATTGACTTTAATGTTAATTCTGAGAACCCAACTCCCCCAACCCCACCGCCCACGTAGCCTAGGCTACCGATTGAAGCGTTCAGTTTAAAGTGAAAGTAAAACTAACTACTTTCCGGGAATTTCTTACACAGTTGTTATGACCTTGAGTGTAATACGCCAATAAACACACTAGTTAGTTGAGGGAGGTTTGGTATCGTGCGCATAAGTAGGACATTAAACCTTATTTCGCACGGTATACATAATTTACTAGTAGGACGCAAAAGATCCCCTGGCAGTTGGAATTCGATATAAGAGTAGGCAGTAGCGCCGCTGTCCGGGCAAAATTTCCCTCATAGCACACTGCATGGCGTAAGTAAACCCGTCTTTATTAGCCCAGTCGGAGCAGACACAATAGGACGTTAAACTCCATTTATTTTCGTTTCAGAACGTTAACCGTCGATAGTGTGACGTTTATCCCATTTCATGTCCTGTACCGTGTGTTTTAGCAGAAAGTTTAGCCCAATTTCATGTCATGTACCGTGTGTATTAGTAAGATGGAAGTTAAACCCCATTTCATATGTTAGAGTCGCCTGTCCAACCTCGTGGGTTTTCTCCGGGTCCTCTGATTTCCTCCCACTGCTAAAGACCCCTACTCGCAAGCAAATTATTGAAATAAAATTAAACCATGTTATGTTAGTCCCGAAATGACCTAATTTGTGTCGAGTGGACGTTAAACCCCATTTCTCTCTCTCTCCATTTCATATGTATCGCGTGTATTAGTAAGACGGTAAACCCTTTAACCGTGTATATTAGTAGGACGTTAACCCATTTTACCGTGTGTATTAGTAAGACTTTAAAGCCCATTCCATATCATGTACCGTGTATATTAGTAGGGCGTTAAACCCCATTTACAGAGCATACTAGTAAAGCGTCATAAATACATGTACACAAGATATGTAGAGATCAGACGCAGGATTTTAAACCTCCCTTATATTTTAAACGAGAAGTAAATGAGGTATTGCGAAATAGTTAGTCGCGGGTTGTAGAAACAGTTTGTCGTCAAAGGTCATGGAGGATAAACGTAATAGGGATATCTGTAGCATATGTCAAGAGCATTTCACCAAACCTAAAATTATTTCGTGTTTTCACACATTTTGTGAAGACTGTCTGGGGAGTCACATCGAGAAAACTGCAGAGAATTCTCGTTTTTCGTGTCCGGTTTGCCGGAAAGATATTGTTGTTCCCGCAGGCGGCGTGGCCGAATTCTCATATAATTTTTATATTGAAGAAGAATCTTTTAAAGTGGAGGCGAGAGCGGAAACTATCAACTGTGATATATGTGAGGACGGTGATTCGAACTACAGATGTATAGAATGTGGTCAGTATTTATGTGAATCTTGTAAAGATAAACACGATCAATTTGCTGGCTGTATCAAACACACAGTGTTCGGTTTAGATGATGAAACGGAAGTTAAACTCAAAAAGAAGAGAGAAGTTTGTACAGAACACGAAACAGAGGAACTGGACTTCTATTGTGAGACTTGTGCCGAAATCATCTGTATCAAGTGTTTGATGTCGAATCATAAAGACCACAAGACCCCTCAGTTGAAAGACTGTGCAGAAGCTGTGAAGGCAGAGCTGACCAAACTACAAACAGAACTCGAGGAACAATATACCAAAATTGATGGGTATGTAGCTTCCATTGTTACCAAGGTAAAAGTGATGAGAGATTCTAAAACTGAAACTTGTAAGAAGATCGACGAACAGGTACAAAAGATATGTGATGCTGTAACAGCACTAGGAAACGAATCTAAGAAGGAAGTTGGAACAACATGTGATGAGGAGGAACAAAAGATGAATAAAATAATAGAAAACATGCAAAACCTCACACGACAAATGGAACCTACTATTGAACATTTGAAACAAATTTTGAAAAAGAACTCTGTAGTTGAAAACATAAATGTTCTTCCAGAAATAAGAAGAGAAAAAGCAGAAAAATGTTCAACGGATTTAGCATGTCTGCCTCGTGTTGTGACAGAATACAGGACAGGTGTGGTCAACCTTGCCGGTCTATCTGGCTATCTTGGAGAGTTGTCCATTTTACGTGGTCCAACATTTCAACATAAATTCAGGTTGTCTAAACCTTCCAAAAGGCGGACATTTGAAAGTACAGTATACCGTGTTGAGGACCTGTCATGGTTTCTAAGAATTGCCACCCACGAAGACAGCGATCATGTGAATATAAGTTTATATTTATACCTAGGAGATCAACCAACCCTTAAATCAGTGACAGCTCGCATTAAACTAGAACTTCTTCAGGCCTCTGATAGAAAGAGATTATGCACTAAGGAAGATAACCAAACCTTTACAGGAGTAATGGGCTGCTATCGATGGGATGATGTACCAACAGTCGGGGAACATTCTGTTGGCAGTTTTCCTGTATCAAGGCAGAGTCCTCCAGAAGAAAAATATTTTCTAGTTCAGGCAAACGTTATCATCGAAAATACAAAAACAAAATAACTACAATTGTGTCATAAACTGTTAACTATAAATGAGCCGCTGTATTCGTAGACTAGTGTATGTATGAATATGTAACTCTTCCCTCAAATTAGAGGATTGTTTTGTTTTAAGAATTCAGGGCCTATAAAGATAATTACAAAATAAATATTATTGATAATTTGATAAACATCTGTAATAAATCCACTCAAACAAAATGGACAGAGTGGTAATCTCCCACAATGCAGTTAATGAAGCTTAAAACAAAGACTTGGATCTCGAGTCACCTTGACATTAACTAAGTTTGTCCAAAACATGGCAATGGTGGAATCATTACAGTTGCATGATTAGCAAATGTTAATACAGCTTCTGGATTCAATAATTAAATTAGTAGACATTGATAATTTTTTGTATGGTTTAAAAAAATACACCTAATATAATATTAGTGATGGCTACAATTATATTAATCCCGATTTTTGTTATCATTACATTCATTATTTCATTCATTCTAATCTAAAGCGTTCGACTTTACGTGAAGTTGAGAATCATAAATGGAACTCCAACTTGCAAGAGTTGTTTTTTTTTCATATGTACGCCAGCGTGTGCGCGGGATCTCGACTTTTCATGCCAACCGAACGACCTCAGAACCTCTGTCATACACGACTGGAAAACCTCGGTGAACTTGTGTCCACCTAACATGAATCTTAGATATTGATTCAGTAGGTATATATAGTTCTTTATACTAATGTATATCAAATATTTATATTAATTATTAAGATAGGTATTAAGCAATCTGAACAACAGACCCAAACCACCTGCAGAGACCATTTATTTTTCGAACGTTAGTTACGTACGAGTTAGTAAGCTAGTGATAGCTTCTGGGTACAAAAATGTAATCGAAGCAATACAGACAATAACGTTCATTCTTTAATAAACCCAGTTCGACTTGAAATAACTGTAGATTTTATAAGTGAGCGAGTTTTTATTTTTATTTTCGTCGCCTAATAATTCATTATGTATATTATATATTATGTCTTTTGTGCATATTAGTATAATGTGAAATAGTTTATTAGTACGCTTGTTCACATAATATATGCTAATATTTTATAATAAGTTTTTAATTAATATGTGTTTCTTATATACGCCCGTGTACATTATAGCTCAGTCGGCGCAGAGCAGTAGGATGTTAAACCCCATGTTATTACTTTCATGTATACTATTATAATGTGAAATATTTTATAAGTACACATAATACATGATAATATTCTATATTCAATAATTAATAGATGCTTTGCATTTTATGTTTTAATTGTGATTTTAATGTCTTTATTGTATTCTGATGTTCGGGTTTTTTTTAAATACACTATTTATAGATTGACTTTCCTGAGGAGACTTCATTATTTTACATTTTTAAATGTAAATACAATAATTCTTAAAAATGCACCTGAATGTCTGTAAGCGTTGTTTTCTCTATAGCTTTATATTGACCAAAGCGACACGGGAAGTGGCAGAAATAGAACACCATTTAATCATGGCTGTATTATATGCTGTATATAGACCTTAAATATTCACACCTTACTACCCACAGTGTAGTGGAAGGTCATCTAACATTATATACTATTCAAAAAAAGTAGGGGATATTTGATTTTGGGGGCATAATACTAAAATATGCAAATGACTATACGAAAAAAGTCACTATAGAACCTAACAGAAGAAACATTTCCAGTTACATGTGACGCCCAAACGCACCAATAGCTACCGCATGGAATGCAGGTGATGCTTGGGATCATCATGGGGGTCCAACCCAAGATTTGCACGACTCTGACTTTGAATGTTACAGTCATTGTGGCATTGAATTCCAGGGTGGAAACATCAGTTTAATTGTTTTAGTGACCAGAAAACAAATTTTGATATGCGTCGGCTTACCCAAAATGAAAGGTTACGTGCCCTTGGCATGCTACAGATCGGCACAACACAGGCTGTTGTGGCGCGGACGATGAATGTTTCTCAGTCTGTCATAAGCAGGCTATGGTCCAGATACCGTGATACACAATCTGTACAGGACAGACCACGCTCAGGTCGACCAAGGGCGACAACTCAAGCCCAGGATCGATTTATCCGTACCTTGGCCTTGAGAAATCGTGTCATCACAGCAAATCAGATCAGCGCTCGTCTTCAAACAGACACTGGTGTGAGAGTGAGTGGCCAGACGATTCGGAATCGACTGCATAGGGGTCACCTTCGCGCCCGACGTCCTCGCGTGATCCCTTGTTTGAGAGATCATCACATTCAGGCAAGACGTCGTTGGTGTAGGGATCGTCAACACTGGGATAATCGACGCTGGAGCAATGTGATGTTTTCAGATGAGTCAAGGTTCACTGTTGATTTTTTGGACAGACGTAGGAGGGTGTGGCGTCGTCGAAACGAGCGCTTCCAAGACGTTAACGTCATCAGACATGATCGATTTGGGGGTGGTTCTGTTATGGTGTGGGGAGGCATCACTGTTGCTGGAAGAACGGCTTTACATGTTGTTGCAGGGCGTGTTACAGGCCAGTACTACCGGGACAACATCTTGGCAGTCCATGTTGTGCCGTTCGCACGACGTCATGGCCGCCGTTTCATCTTCCAGGATGACAACGCAAGATGTCACAGGGCCAGGATCGTTACAGGTTACCTCCAACAACAGAACATCACCACATTACCTTGGCCAGCACTGAGTCCCGACCTCTCCCCCATCGAGCATGTCTGGGACATGCTTGGACAGAGGTTACGTCAACGTCAACAACGTCCTGCCAATGTCCAAGAACTTGCTGCTGCGTTGCAACAGGAATGGGACAATCTGGACCAAAATGACCTTAGACGTCTCATTAGGAGTATGCCACGTCAGATCAATGCTTGTTTGGCAAACAGAGGAGGATTTACCCGTTACTGACTTGGTTGTGATGCTGTGGTAACTTTGCTGTTTGACCCCGGGTATCATTTTACCCTTATAATGGTCAGTCTGTGCCTTACTTAGTCTAACGATCATTTGGAATAAATCGATGAATGTGAACTTCATTTCATTTTGTCATTTGTTTCTTCGTCAGTTTCATTAGGTGACTTTAATAACACTTAAAAATCAAATATCCCCTACTTTTTTTGAATAGTATATTATTGTCAATTCGTGTTCACCGCTAACAGACTGTATGGTGAATTGTACCGCATTCAGCTTGCATGGGGTCCTTGGCTGAAAATGTCGCTAGGGCCCTTGCATTAACAGTGAAAAGGGTGAATATTCTGGTAACTGTCAGTCACTCTCATACAAACATAATTTGTATGTCAGTATCGTAGATTTACATCCCACTTCTACCTCGTTGCCAGTTGCAACCTTTGATAAAACTGTCCTGTTTATTTCCAATAGAGAGAGAGAGAGAGAAATGGGGTTTATCGTCCACTCGACACAAACTAGGTCATTTCGGGACTAACATATGGATTAATTTTATTTACATAATTCGCTTGCGCGTAGGGGTCTTTAGCAGTGGGAGGAAACCGGAGGACCCGGAGAAAACCCACGAGGTTGGACAGGCGACCCTATACTTCTTGCCACGCAAGCGAATTATTGAAATAAAATTAAACCATATGTTAGTCACGAAATGACCTAGTTTGTGTCGAGTGGACGTTAAACCCCATCTCTCCCCCCCCCCCCACTCGAAGGTATAAATGATAGAAATCTGTTAATTAGTTCAGTTGGCTCGCTAATCTGGGTGTCTTGGTTTCGATCCTGGTGTTGGCCGAAAAAAGACTCCTTGTTTTTCCAGCGTGGGTTGCCTGGCAAGAGCATCTTCCAGTCGTTCGGATGGGACTAAAACTCAAGATCGCGTGTACACATTGGCGTGCACGTAAAATAACCTTTTGAGATTTGGAATTGCTGTCATAGCACACGGTATGATTTATGCCCGTGTTCATTAGCCCGGTCGGTGCAGAAAAGTTAGACCTTAAACCCCATTCCATTTCATTTGTTCAGTTTAATATTCGCCTGAATCTACTGTATTAATTCACATTATCTGGGTGTGTTAATCCGAGTGGATGGGCATTGATTCAAGTAAACAGAAAACAGAGTTAGGTAGCTATCGTTACTTGTAAAAGAAACCGCATACTGCCAAATAATGTAAGAAACGACCAATTAGCACCACGACTGGATAATGAAATCAAAGAAAATTGACGATTTCAAAATGGCGACGTACAGTCAATTTAAGTAAACTTTTAAATCAATTTATAAGGTCTACGAGTCAATACAAGGAGTGCCGATGGGATCACATATTGGAGTTAAATCGAGGTCTATGAGTCCATATAAGGAGTGTCGATGGGGTCACCTATTGGAGTTAAATCAAGGTCTACGAGTCAATACATGGAGTGTCGATGGGGTCACCTAGTGCGAAACTTCTTGGGGGCGGCAAATTATCTATGTGCATACCAGAAATCCCCTTATATTATTTATGGACAAGCCTCCTTTGGAACTGAGTTACCAAATCACCGACCTCCGCTTTGACTAAACCTGTTGAAACCCGTTCATAATACAGCAAATAGAGGGGGTAGAATTATGATTTTTTCCAAAATATATTATAGTAGGGGTTTTTGATCAAATGGAGGGTTGAAGGGGAAATAAACATAAATAGTTTACATATAAGTTGATTTAATGAATAGTTGTTTAGATAAAGAAAGTGTTAAAAGTATAAAAAAAATTGTATTTTAAAATTTCTTTAATCATAAATCAACTGAGCGTAGGCACTGAACAAAGCAGTTACGATATGCAGGGGTGGGCAGGCGTCACTGAAATTTTTTACCCGGTGCGCCACATATGCTAGTGAGAGCCCCGAGTCGGTGACGATCTGGGATATTGATATATCTCTCCAGAATTGGGTTCAGTGATGGATAATGGTCGAAGACTGTCCATTATGTAAATAGAAAGAACAACTGAAGTCTTTCTTTGTATTTATATAATGGACAGTCTGAGGCTATAACTTAAAACATAGCACCATAGAGATATAAATAATGGATAGTTTTCTAAAAGAACAAGCCACAGAAATAATGGATAGATTCTTAAAACAACATGTACATGTGACAAATCACTGCATTCATACAATGCAAGCATACACAGACAGTCCAAAATATTCATTTAGCAAGATATCGTCAAGTGGAGACGACATGTTTGTAACAAATGTTAATGATGAGAATATTTGTGATACGCATTTGGATACTGATTACATTGGGTGATGTACTCGATATGGAAGATAAAAGCCACAAAAATTGTGATGTACTTCATGTTGGGGATATTAGCCGTCAAGGTGGTGATGGAAAGGATGCTCACGAACATTATTTAGTAATTTAGATATTGATAATATTCTTGTGGTTAATATGGAGGGTATTATACGTCCAAATTTTGATTTGAAATTTAATATATACTTTGATATAAGTGACAGTGACACAGGATCAAAGGGACAAACTTTTGTACGAAATTTGAACTCAACCGTCATCGTCATTATGGTGTAACGGTGATATATTTCAACTTTAAAATCGGATAAAAAAAATTGTGACCTGCACAGGTTCCACAGGCTAAAACACGATTTTTTTCGGGTTTTTTTTGTTCAACCAGGGGCCATATTCCAGGAAGTTACAGTCCGATATGCGCTAATATCGCAAGGAATCAAGTTCTTTGGGTTATAAACATGCATGTTCAGTTTCATTAATATCGGATAAAAATTGTGACCTGTACAGGTTACACAGGCTAAAACACGTTTTTTTTCGATTTTTTTTTTGTTCAACCGGGGACCAAAGTCCAGGAAGATACGGTCCGATATGCGCCAATATCGCAAGGAATCTAGTTCTTTGGATTATAAAGATACATGTTCAGTTTCATCAAAATGGGATAAAATTGTGACCTCTAGTGTGTACAATCAGGGGCCACAATTAACGAAGACACGGTCCCATACAAGCCAATATCGAAAGGAACCGAGATCTTTGGGATACAAACCTGTATTTCAAGTTATGACCTGTAGATTGTCCACAAAAGGAATGTCAACGGACGGACATTGGCGACATCAGTATACGTCCACATGAAAATGTTAGCGTATATTCAAAACGTGTCATCGATCATACCTATAAACAGACCAGTGACATACAACAGGCGGATTTAACTTGAATTCTTCATATAGGAAACAAACCAAAATTTGCTGAAACCAAATTAGACAATATGGAAACGGTAAATTCTACACATCGACAAACACGTGAAATCAACATTCGGTCACGTGAGATTTCGATAACTATGCAGTTTTAAAGTAATTTCATGCACTGTAATTTAATTTGTTCAGAATAAATTGTCCCAAAATACATGTTCATTTTTTAGAT